CCTCGCATCGCTCAATTCGTCAATTCGACTATAATTTATTGCGCAACGCGCGACAAACAAATTAAGATTCTGGGCCCCGTTAAAGGAGGCCAGTAAATAAGTCGGCGATAACCCATAAGACCGAAAAAGCCGCTGCAAGATAATCGCCGGTACCTCGTGTGACCTTGTAGCCGGCCGTGTTACTATCAGGCCTTTGAAATTGAAGGGACGCGACGAGGCATTAGAAGAGAAAATATAAAGAGAATTGATAGAATAAGAAATAATTCAAAGTTCCCGGTCAAAATGACTAATCGTTGCGGGATTAAGAAATTTCGTCGTCCTCACTTAACCTCCAATTAATTGTCGCTTATTTTTTCATCCATATACGTCAAACTATCGCAATTGATTCGACAATGTACGCCAAACAGTATTTACAGAGGCGGGTAGCAACTGAATAATGAGTCAGCAAACAGCACGTACCGTTAGATAGTATCGATAGCCGTGACTCCAGCCGCTGTTAACTATCGATTCGCTATGCAGCGACTATGACACTAAGCTAAGGACTGGTGAGCACTTGATTCCACAGAAGCGTCGGATCTTCTGAGGAAGAGTAAGAAATTCAAGATCCTTCCGGTGACTTAGAGAACGGAACAAAATTCTGAAAATATTTGCGCAATGCGGATGCTGCGTTATTGGCGCGGAAAATGGAGAGCCAATTCGCCGGCAAAGGGTAGTAGACGTTTTGTGATAAATATATAACAGTTAAGCAATGGGACAAACTGCAAGTCACTCAACTGGTACATCTTGATTCTTGTAGGCGTTTGTGCGTACGTGAGTGACTGAGTAACTGAGTGACCTGAGCGAATGAATGAATGAATCAATGTGGCACTTCGCACTTTTCCATTTACACTACACTTCACGAGGCCGTAACGTTAATTCCGGCCTTGCGTATCTGTATAAATGTATATTAGTACGGGACTACTTGTATACGTACCGTGTATAACGTGTGCTGTGGACATTGGCTAAAGTGTCGTATCGATGTAAGTGTTCCGTTAGGAATTAATTAAAATAATTATTAAATTGACCGAACGACACTGAATGATATAAACTAGAGGTATAACGAGAAAAGGAGGTACGGAGAATGAGGGAGAAGTAGAATCGAAGATTAATTTTATTATTTCTTTATCTTGTTACGCATCGTTATCACACGTGCGTTATCATCGAGCTAGGCGAAATGTACTATTAGTCATTCTGATATGGCACTGGAATTACGATTGCTGGTAATTATACGAGGATCCGGACGATGAAAAGCGACAGAGTATTTTTAGTGTGGTTCACGAACAAATACGGAAACATTCGGTTACGTTTGCCGTTAAACAATTTTTTAAAAACAAATATAATAATTGCGTCAGGCTTTGGAAACTTAACCTAAACATTTCTTTGAACGTCATTCGAGTGTCAAATTATACAAGTATTTCCTCTTACAATTAGTTGCGCTTTCGTCGACTCGAATTTAATGTTTACTTGTTTTTCTTTAGTTTTTTTTTTTTCCTAACCACGCGACAAGGTTAAGCATCTGTTACTATTTTGTTTGTAAGATAAATATATAAATATGTTCGGCCGTGTCTCTTTGAATATACGCCATATTTGTTTCTTGCAGTGACTTCGGTAGGTCATTATTATTCTCTGCTATGATTTTTCATGAAATTTTATGCAGTTATTTCAAGGCTGTATAAATTTCTTATTTTCTTTCTTTCGTTCAACCACCTTTTTCCTCATTACACTTTCCAGATATTAGTCGCGCGACAACTTGCCATCGATATTACAACGTATACAACTCTGACATAATCTTACAATTTGTCTTTCGTTGCTCGAGTAATAACTACCGTAGCGTTTCTGAGAGTCGGGACAAATTTTTAATCGGCGTCCATCGTCAATTTCGCGAGGTCGAACGATTGTTTATACCGGTGTAATCAAATACCGGAAGAGTGACAGTATGATTCTCGGCCACGACGATAAATATTACCCAGGAGGCATATTGCGTAACAACGCAAAACCTGTTGTGCGAGGGAACGTGCATGTGTCGTCACGTGCGTCACGGTATAACCTGTCAGTATCCATGGAAAATGGAATAAAGACATTAAAGACCAATGATGCATTACCTGAAGGTAAAATAGTTTTACCGATCGGTAACAATATTGTACCGAACGCAACGAAAGTAAAAAAGACAAAAAGAATATATAAATCAGTAAGGAAAAACTCACCACTTGTTTCGTACTGATGTCACGAGCTTAAAGGACGATCGATCCTGGCGTCTTAAGTTCCTGGCTGTTCGCTACGACACTCGATTTTCGTACAGGGAGCAATGTAAAACGAAATATAATATTTCAAAATAACCGAACACTGGCGGTACACTACACACGGCACTGAATAGCGACACGCGTAAACGCACGATAAGATACGATTGTGCACGAGAAACTCTTTTTATTTAAGCTAATCTGTAACTGGAAAATGGAATATAGTTTCCAACTCGCGAACACGACTACCAACACGTCTTTACGGTACGAACTCGCGCTGGCGACTGGTCGCCTCGGCTTGACTGTCGAAGGAAAACAGCGCCCCTGGCGGAAATCGCTGTAAACTAATGTGAACGCGATGCCGGCGAAAATGTGATTATATATCGATGTATACTTATCATTTCTCGAAAGGGTTAATATGTTAGACAAGGAAACTTGATAGAGAGATAATTAATTAAAGTCCTGTTATACTTTTATATCCATTTATTATATTTCATCCAATATAACAGTCTAGTCACGCTGTACAATTTCATTCGCTTTTCCTCCCACGCATGCGAGGTAGGTTCGCCTTAAACGCGTATAACATGTATGAACGCAATTGTGTCTTTTTCAGTGCGTTGCGTGTGTGTTTATATTTTTTTAATTACACATATATTAATAAGTGTTTAAATAAAAATGTAAATTAAGTTCTCATAATTAGGATACAATCAATTCAGTTTTTCTATAAGAATTGAGAAGTTTTCCAATAATATTTAGTATAATCGACCTAAAATTAAAATTAGACGAAGTTATTACGAATCGATTGTATGTTTCGTCGTTAATAAAATTAAATTTTTAATTCAGCGTAATTACGCATGATAAGTGCGCGTGTGATTTCGTCTCCTCGTCACATACGTTCGTATATGTATATAGGCGTTAAAAATAGTGGGAATTCTTTCGATTTTACATTCCATGCTGTTTCCTTTGATATTTTAAAAATTTCTCCTTCGTCACCTTTCTCTCTGTCCTTTCCTTCATTCCCGTGTTTCTATAGACTGTTTTTCAAAATCTTTATTAATGTTTTCCAAGATAATTGGTTCTTATTATAATATGCCGATCGCACATTAATACGTATTGTGCATTTATATTGCTTGAACAAAACAAAGTAAAGTTACGAGTCAGCAAATAATCATATTTTTTTAAATCCATCGCGAAGATCCAGCATCTTTGGAATCCAGTGGATTATTTTAATGCGCAATTTCCGGTCGGCTCCATTAATTAAATGCGATTCCCTACCGATCGAGGAACTGGTTCCAAGGCTCGTAAGGCAATGCTTTATCGAAGACGGAAAAAGCCCATTGTATCTCCAGTGTCATTCGAATACGATTAACAAGATGATTTCACGTATCGAAAGCAGTGAATCCCAATTAGCATAAAATTTTTGAAAAAGAATTTTCAAGAAAAAAAAATTAAAAAGAAACTTCAACAAAATGACAGCCACTCGTGAATCTCCTTTTAAAATGCTTTAAAGAGGGGTAAATAAAAATTTAATTAAACTACAAATATATATAGCATCCTTAAACTGCGTTTACAAACGACGAACTTTAATTTCACGAAGAATTTATATACGACGATGATCCTTAACTGTAAATCGCACGGGACAATTTTTGGTCCTCGCACATAAAAAAAAAACCCAGTGCAATTCCACAATCTTAAATGGCAATTCCAATTGGTATTCCAGATTGGCAGTGCTCTCTCTGCTTCTGGACTCTTGTAAAGGATCAACTGTATTTCCCAGTGGAGCAAGTAAATCAGCAATCAGTAAGAATGATCATGAGCCATCATCGAGTATACCTGCATGGTCTACCACTCTGATTACCGGGACGAGTTTTTCATTACTCGATACTTTTAAACGCGTTGCGCAAATCATTTTTCTACATACATATCCTACATATGTACATACATCGTACATAACGAAGAACGGCTGACGGATTGATTTGAAAATTGGATAGAAGAGTAAACGTAATATTTTGATACGGATGGATAATGATAATGATGATAAGTTTTCTACACCCAGAATAGCATATTAAAATCTCATATACCGTATACCGTGAAGAAAATGATTTTGCTAACTTTTCGTTAGATTCAATTTTAACTATCACCCTATGGATGCAATGTGTTCCCTCCTATCAGGTTTCGCCAGATCGTTTGATGTCTGCGCGACGTTGCTTAACAGGTTATGTCGTTCCTCGTCGCTCGTCAGAATCCTGAGATCGAGGATCGTGTTTCTATGGCCCGGAGGATATCGTGTTCCACGTGACAAGGTGGCCGATAACGGAAACGGAAACAGAGGATGGTTGTAACAGGGTAATCTACAGATGTACTATATATGTATATGTATATATAGTAGTCGGATGATGACGATTCTTTATACGTTATCGTGTTTCTTTTTACTGTGATTATTTTTTAGTCTTTCAAATAATAAGTACAGCTACAATTACGTGGGAATGATTTAACTCATGCGTGTAACAGAGAATGAGCGAGCGAATGGGAATTGCACTGGGATGTAAATTGAAATCGATTTTTATTGATTATACATCGCTTTTGTTTATTTTGATTTTTCCGAGATAATGAAATTGGCGGATTTTTTTCGAAATCGGTAAAATCGCTGGATTCTCTTGGTTCCTATAATTATACATGAAAGTAGACAAGTGCTGATGGGACATGGGTAAATAAATTTATCAGGTGTGAAAAAAGAGGATGTGATGAATTTTGGAAAAAAATTGAAAAATAATAAAAATTTTTATAATTTTCTGAAACTAGCCACTTTTTCAAACGAACTGAGGTAGTCGGATTATCTATCGACTAATGGTGGATTGACGTCGAAAATCGATGATAACGATAACGAGTGAATACCATGTGAATTATATGTACAAGTATAATCAAAGATGACGCTTCATTCCCTTTCTCAGAAATTGCAATACAGAAGATGCTGGGCAGTGAAGACAAATAATGTACCGTTCGTCCTGGTCGTCGACGAACTTTGGTGAACTTCAGCGAGTCAGGTTTTAAGGGCAGAAAAAGCATCGGATGAAATCGGCAGTCGAGGACAGCAAGACGAGTAATGCCGATCAGAACCGATCGTTGGTACGAGTCGATATAGTACACGGTACCACAGAAAACGATCAAAACCAAAAAAAAAAATTTTTTCAATTCTGAATAATTTTTCAAATTACATCGGATAGACCAGCACTTAATTTCCATGCGAAAAAAAATTTTCAAAATCCTCGATCCTTATGCTCGCTTGATCCAGCGCATTTGCTTTACCTTTATTTTGTGATAACGTAATATATTAATTATTGTAAACAGTCGTGTGAATTAGTTTTGAAATACATACTTTTTTTTTTTTTCGTGTATACTGAGACGATAATTATTATTTTTATTATTCTTTTTCTCTTTTTCGCATCCAACGCGCATCTTGCGGTTGAAACGATGTTGCGTCTCGTCGCACTTTTTTTTTTCTTTTTTTAGTTTACCGCTTTAAAACCTCGTTTTCAACGAAAGACCCTTCGCCACAGTATTTATTGTGAATCGACCCTTAGTATTGCTTTACGCGGTATCATTTCTACCGCGAGACTTAAACTTTGGCAGTGTGAAGAAAATCGTTATATTTGAATCGGCTTTTCTGTTGGCCCATGTGCGTGTACGTATACGATACACGCGCACGTGCCAATACAATATTTTAATAATAATAATAATTGGCGAAATATTTCCACGTAACACTCCGACGCCCGGTCTCTTTTGTCCTTACGTTATTCTTTGAACGGGACGACGATCATCGCCATTTTTTTTTTTTTTTTTTCAATATATTTCATCTCGATAAATTATCGCGCGACGATTAAATCACAGAATTCAGCAAAGAATATAAAAAACGCCACTTCCGACTTTTACACGTTTACTTCCTTTCATACTGGAAATGATCGTCGCCATTTTTTTTACGTGTTCGTGTAATTTAAACCGAGCGTCATTACTTTTTTTTTGTTCGCATTTACCTAAAAAACCCTGAAAACGTTTACGGGAAACTCGTGTATAGTTAAAGACAGCGTAATGAGCGCGAACACACACACACCCACTCATACCAATCCTGAGGTACACATGTGTACACATATGTACATATGCACGCACATATGTATCTACGTCTATTCGTTAAATGTAGGGCTTTCCAGTTTTCAACAAAATCCATGAAACGCGTGTAAACGTATATATTTTTTTTTTCGAAAAAAAAATTTTTATCATCAATTTTATTTAACGACTCGATCACGACGACCTTCGATTAATTCACTTTGAACTATTCGTTATTGCGTCGCGTGGATCTGATACTTACAGGCGTTCATATACTTGAATTCGCGCTTTCTCTCTCTCTCTCTCTCGCACTCACTCTCACCCTATGGCTAATCGTATATTCGTCCTATACAATATTTCTTTTCCTCTCTACCATTTCTTTACATTACAAGCGTTTCTCTAACTAGACATTTAGAGCATTTGCGGTATAGGGTATAATAAAAGTGAAGAGTAATTTTAACTAAAGAAACGAATATACATGATTACGTAGTCCACATTGAATGGCGACCTTATTGATTGTGGATCGAGGCGATACTCATTTGATAGTTAGATTTGAAGAATTTTTGTAAAAAATTGTTTGAATTTTTATCTATCTCGTGAAGTACGAAAAAATTATTTTTTTGAAGTTAAAAAAATTTTTGGTGCGCTTTTTTTCAATTTTCGATTTTTTTTATTCTCTCATAATCACGCCTCGATCTTTCGATTCCACAAAGGTTTTGCACTATCCTCGCAAATGCCATAAACTGAGAGTCTTCATCTTCGAAATTTACATGCATCCCTCTCCATGATCCTCGGATAAGTATCCTTGGTCGTACCTCTATCCTTATCATCATTCTTAACCTTATCCTTATCCTTATCGTCATTCTCATTCGAGTCCACGTTAAATCATCCCTCTTTACATAGAATTTATAATAAATGCAAACACCATTTATAATAGTTATACCTATGCGTGTTTCAATATCCTATACGCATTTAATACCGTATTTACAAGCGGTGTGTAGCCGTGAACGAGCTCTCGAAAAATAAGTTCGATATCTCACAATATCTTATCCCCTTTTTCTTGAAACTAATTCTCCACCTTTATCCTCGTAGTTATTTATCCTTCGCTTCTGTTACGTCTCAACTTTCACGCTATACTCGGTATACCCGCCTTCGTGTTTATCATTGGGTCTAATAATCTTACGACGTTACTTATTTTTTATGCGCATGCGCGAATCGCAATTCTCTTCCCTCCTCACATATTTGTACATAATTTACGCGTCTCTTAAGCCCTCTTTTATTTTATTTTATTTTTTTCGTACTTTTCTTTTGCTCTCCTCTCGAACCCACACGATTCCCATGCGTTGCGCTTGCTCGGTGCAAGCGTTCGTTTTTGCTGTTGTAATACGACAAGTACCGTAACGAGAGCATCGTGAAAACCAGAAAGCCGCATTTATAAAGCTTACTCATTGCAAATAGAAAGGGGTGTCTGTTTTTTTGTACCATTCGAAATATTTTTGTAATTTTTTCAAAATTAATATTTTTCCTCGTCCGATAGATGACTCTCGCTCGATTTAATTTATTGATGATAATCGTCGATTAAATCGACGTAACCATATACGTATAGGGAGGACAAAAGAAAAGCGGTTGAGGCATTTTTTGCTTTTCTTCTTAATTTGTTCTGTTTTCTCTTTTTTCCTTTTCTTTCGTTTTTTTTTTTATAAAATTTCTAAATTTTTAGCACTTGTCATTACACAACCGGAATCTCAGGTATCGATCCCCTGATGCTTTGTCATTAGCACTCCGTGGAGCGATCAAGAAATTTATATACTGCAAAAATATGGTAACGTTTTGGTTTCTTAACATTTTTGTTTTTTAAAAAAATTTTCTCTCTATTTCGCACACATGCTTTTGTCTCCCGTGCTTTCTTTTGCATCCCCTTCTCACGTGACAAAATAATTCATGTCGCGCTTGCAACGCATATGATACAAGATTACGCGACGCCATCGCACGGAATTTGACTTTTTTAAAAAATTTTATTCCTCCATTTCTCACCGAAAACAGCTATTTTTTTCTTTTTGCTTCTGTAAAACTTATTCTCACAGTGCTTTAATTCTCACATTATCACTCATTTAATTTCTATTTACAGGACGCTCTTATTTAATAAAAAAAAAATTACTAGTGTAGGTGCCGTTAAATTGAGTTAATCTCGCGCACGCATGCGCAAACATACACGCAGTCACTCGTCATCACTTTTCTTTTGTTTGTTACTTCTCACATACGATTCGCTCGATTCGCACACGTCCCTTTGTAATAAATAGCGCGCGCGCGTCCTTCTCGACCCGTTTCTTACAATGAAATGAAAAAAACATGCGCGGCCAAAGATTCAAACGCGTCACTTTCGAGATTGCTTACCCGCGCTTTTCGCATTCGTCCGATTGGCAGTCCTTCGTTCTCGTGGAATTTCACGCAAGCATCGCCGTCGTTAACCTCACTGAGATCCCTCAAAGAAATTCCACGATTCTCATTGGTAACCATTGCCCGTCTTTTCGAGTCGTGACAACACGTAGGCCAATTTCGTACAGACAGAAACCAGTCGGTAGCTTCATTCGTTTCCGTTCGTAATACGTTAATCAGCCCAACGAACCATCACGTCATAGTAATTTTCAAACCATTCCCGCCGCACAGCGAATCACATACAAAATCCCACTAGAATCTTCTTGTCTAGCTTTACCGTTAGCTGTAAGAAATATCGTTTTTACTCTTTTGCTTTCAGCTTACGTAAGTATGTTACACAGCACTGTCTTACATATAAGAAATAGTAGTTAGCATCCTAGGTATTAAATACGGTACTGTCGCTATAGTGCAAAAAATTCCCTAGAAAAATTCCCCTACAAAATCCAACGTCTCGTTTAAAATGTGGTCTCGTTATGGCGTTTTTTCAAATATTTTCTTCGTTCGTGCACTTTAATAACATTATTATTATCAGTATCGTTATCACTTGTAATATTCTGTTCTCTTTCTCTCTAATCTCCCTACCGTTCTAGGCATTGATAAATTAAATGTTCCGTTGTTTCTATAAATGTTGTATCAGGTGCTGGGACATGCGAGGTGACCGTGTGCTTGTGTTGAGTGTTTTTTGTTGTAATTATTAACACGTGAAACACTGGTACAGTCAATCGTGGATAAAGAAGGAAGAAAAAAATAACTAAAATTGGTGAGTCGAGGGACTAAATTGGGTTGAGACAGGGGAAGGAAAATTTTTTTATTTTGAGGTTGCGACAAAAATTTTGTTTTTCTTTCGTATCGCGTGCGCCTTCAATTTATTAATTATCCCTCGATTCGTTAATGATGTTTTGGCCAATCCAGGACGTTTGAAATAATTACTAACGCAAAATTACTAACGTAATTTGTACCATTCATATAAATTTCTTTATTTCTTCTTTCCATTACGTGCTCTTCTCTTCTGTACGGCTACTTTACACATGACAAAGAACTTTTATACCGTCTTACGAATGTTCACGAAGAATTGGACCGCTTACGCGTACGCACGCAAGCGTAGGCGCACACCGTAACTCTATAGGAAGGATTAACGAATCGTTTAATGCATTGAAGAGGAACAGGAAAAGAAAGTCAAAAGAATCGGAGAGAAGGACAATAGAAGAAAAAAAAAAAAGTGAAAACAAGAATTAAATTGTTGCATAAGTGTCATATCTTATTCTCTCTATTTTTCCTTCTCCTTCCTCAATTTCCATCTTATACTCTAAATCGAAATTAATAAAAGAACACGTGCTCGCAGGCTTCTCGAAAAATCCAACGCAACATATCCTATCGACGAATCTCAATATTTAATTGTAAATTTACAAGGGATCACAAAATTAAAAAATAGTTATCCGGCATTGCGCAATCTCGCAAGGGACTCGTTGGTAAGAGCAGTATATCTCTCTTATTTCTCTTTTCACTTCTCTGCTTTTCATATTACAACAGGAAAGAGCAGCGACGCTCGCAATTATCAACGAAAAGAATTAATCGGTAAAGGGACGTGACACTCTTCGCGGGTATTGGTCCACTCGCAGTCTTCGTAAGAAAAGGAAATGAATGAATTAGCGAATACAAAGAGGAATTACAATGAAGGATGATCGAATTATCAATACGTTGGAAAAGTATTCTTAAAATCTAGGATCGTGGTGGGAATTCTTTTTTTTTGACCGGACCGCACCGCACGTGTGTTCCATCGTGTTACGTGTGTGTGTACTGTGTGTCCTGTTGGGAAAAAAATGAATTTACGATTATAAAGAATTAGATATTAAATGAGAGGCGAAAGGATGGCAATGGCAACAGCATCGACAACGTTAACGAACGTAACGTAAAGAAATAAAAGCTGATTAAGAGAACTAACGAAGGCAACGCACCCGTGGGAAAATTTAAAAAGGCAAATTTAAAGGAAAAAAAAAAATATTTAACTTCTAACAAAAAATAATAATCAGTCTCTCGCACGGGGTTCGCTCGTTTATAAATAAATTTTTGTCGTCTCACAACAATATATTATCCACGTACAATTAACATTAATTCTTAGCGATACTGATACTCGTTACTGTCTGCACTGTTGTCGCTGCTGTCGCTCATTCCTCGAGATCAAGCGCAAACGAATTGACGAGGGGGTCCGTGTACGAAATTTTGTACTGGCACAGCCATTCCGAACAACAACAAAGGTTGTTACTAATAATCGTGCAAGATTGTGTCGCAGATCAAAGATAATCGGATTCGCGTAGTGACGCCCTGTGATTGGTTAGTAAGTAAACGTAATCTATTGGTCCCACGGTGGCTCGCAGAGGCCTGATTTCTACGCAACCGATATAACACAGTGATACGTCAGTAGACGGGAACGAACGTATTGGTTGAAAAATTAAAAGAAAACATTACTTCGGTTCGACAATTCGCAGGAAATTACAATAAGGCGTGTACAGGATATACAAAAGAGACAGATATAAACCCTCGTAATTCGTAAGCGCCACGAAAAGCCAAACTGTGCGAGAGGAAGGATGCTTATGGCACTGACGGTACTTGCATATGCGTTTCAATGTGAATAAATGAAATTCGATTTTTCTTTTAAATCTTTGATTACGTCTTTGTTTGCCTACCAAGCGAAAACGAATCGTTCGTACGGATATGCAAAGCTGTCTAATACATTGAACAATCGGTGAAGGATAATTTAGCGTGTTAACGCGTGACGTTTGAGGAACCTGAGTGTGAATGACAGAAGGGAAAGAGTGAAGAAAATAATAATCCTTAAACCAATGGCTAACGATATTCTTAATTGAGGCCGAATTGCCAGTCGCGCGTGATGACAATGAAATTAATCGCGTTGTCTCTTACTTATCTACGTTTCGTGGCAGTGGCCGTTCAGTGATTGGCAGTTCTCGTGGGAATAAAAAAAAAAGAAAGAGTCGCGTAAACGAGTCGTGACGGACGTTGACGTTAAACGGCGCAGCGATGGAGATGACGACGTAGAGACGCGCAGCCGACGGAGGAGCAAAGATAAAGAGCGATTGGCTATCGGCGAGCGACAGAAGAAAATGGAAAAGTCGTAGAGAAGAAAAATTCAAAGTTACAAGAGACACGCGCAAAAATTGGACCACGATCGACTTCATTGTCTCAGTTCATAATCGTTGAATGCTTGGTGACGCGGCGAAGGAAACGTTTAGAGAGAATGAAAAATAAGGTGAGAAATAAAAATCAAATCTCTCGTTGGACGCCGCAAGAAATTTGCTAAATTAAAGTACGAAGAAAAAAATAAGGAAAAATATATATATATGTATAAATCGACGAAATCCTAAATACGCAATAGCTGGCAGTGACGTTTGGCAGTGACGAGTGTTTTCCTTTTCTCTTTTCTTCCAGATCTCATTCCGTTCCCCGATATTGTTATTCCTCCGTTACTACGTTCCCTCCGCATGTTTTTTTTCTCTTTCTTTTCTTTCCTCTTTCTTTTCTTTCCCTCTCTTGCTCGCCCCTTCTATGTCCTATCTCCCCCCTCGGCGCTCGACAACAATTGTCATCCCTTATCGCATCCCTCGAGTGGGAAAAAAAAAGGAAGGTCAAGCTTCCCCTTTCGCAGCTCGTTACTCGCATGCACCCTTACGCAATACAGGGTGGGTGCTTCGTCCATCGTCGTCATCTCCGTCTCGCTAATAATAATAATTACACAGGGCTTTTTTGTGTATCGTTTAACACTACGCGTAGGCCCTCGTGACCTCGCGCACGCGCGGCCACTCGTGAACGTTCGGGGCTCTACTTTCAAATAATTCGTCTAACTATTTACAGGCGTGCCATCTTACCCGGGACAATGCGCACCTGATTAATGAGATGAACAGGAAGAAGGCCACGCTGGCACAGATCTAGTAAAGGGGATGGAGATACTAGCGGATAGGTCCTACGAGACCAGTGACCGTGGAAACGGTGCGATGGAACGAATTTTCCATGTGTGTCGTGAAGTTAGGGGTGGTGACAATGACGAGTAAGAAAGAAAAGAAAAAAAGAATCCGGCGGACATTAAAAATAATATAAAAAGGATTAATGTACAATGGTGCGCGATGACGCGGGTAATAGGCATTGGCGAATCTAGAGATCTAGTGGTTACAGAATAAATTGTAATTAATAATAATTCATTAATTAACCTAAAAACTCTTAATTACACATATTGGCAGTGTTTCTTAGCTGGTGTGTGTATCTATGTCTTCGCACGTGTACATATGTTTTTTCTTTTTTTTTTTTTAGTGTGTATGTGCACGGGCACGTGTTTTTCGTCTGGCTGTGTATGTATCTTTTTATCCCTTATTCGACCTTATTTACTATATTTATAGGCGCGTCGTTGGGGTCGTCGACACGCTTTTCTTCCCTTACGGCCATTCGAAAACGTCGATGCGCTTTCTTTTTTTGTTTTTTCTTTTTTCTTTTTCCCCCCTTCAACATTTACAACGTACATATTCCATTTTTCTCGATTTACTCTTTATCTTCCATGTCCTGCAATCCAATTTTATTAACAGAGCGATCGACTAGTCAAGGATTTTTTTGCGGTTTCGGCAAACACGACAAAAAAACCGGCATTCCCATTGCATATTTTGCTCTTTACGATTCTCATGGTGTTTATCGATTCTATACCTGACAATCTCAGACGCATGTGCGCACTCCGTTCATTCGCCTTCTTGCCTACTATTCGTTCTTTTTGAACCCCTGAGCGCGGTGGATAGTGTAACACAGCCTTTATATTTTACCCCTTTTCTGGGGGCAACAGCTCGTAGCAAGGGTAGATATCTATTTATATATACAACTGCGCAGCACGGCCAGCATATAGTATTTGCCTCTTTTTCTGATCTTGTCATTGTCCGCTCATTTGTCAGTTTATAAATTATCTATTCGATAAGAAAATCGAGTATACTCGCAATGAACATACTGATAAACAGAGTAAACAAAAATCCAATTAAAACAAAAAGGTGCTAGTATAAATGTGAACTATGAAAAACAACGTAAAAAAGAAAGGGTGAAAGAACATAGGATTTAAATGATAGCCGTGCTGCGCGCAAGTTTAAGTGACGAAAAGATCTGCTGTATAAAGTGTCTCAAAACTGTCTCTAAATCTGTAACGCGATTGGCCGAAAGTCGTTCGTCGAGATTAAAATGAAAAAAAAAAAAATTAGCAAAGCTTCTCTGCATCTATTAAAATGAGTCTCAAAACAATTCAGAGAAGTTTCACGAAAATAGAACGCATCCCGGCCAATTGGAGCAAGTCCTCCACTATCATTTTTTGTACATTGCTTTGAACGAAGCGCACGCTTCAAAAAATTGCTAGAAAAGGAAAGAGTGCGTCGTCAGTAAGTCGTTGATCGAATTCCAGTCTGTCCGCGATTATCAGTATGGCGTTGTTATCTTTTATGATACTAATTGCTTTCAACATTCTGCATTAGAAAATTACGATTTTCAATTCTGAGACTGTCAACCCCCTTTACGAAGGCAAATATGTCGGCGGACAAATACAAACGATCCACGTTTCGTTCTACTCACAATTTCCGCATGACGCACGTTATTACTGTATTCACACCATACTTCCTATATATATATATATATATATATATATATATATATATATGTATTTATATATTTATATATTATATTGGTGATACTCGTTCGGCGGGAAGCGCACGCGTACGCGCGCGCTGTGTTTCTTACACCGAGCGAAGGTCAAGGAACGAGGTCAAAGATCGAAGAAATTCTCGTCGAATTTTTCTTTGTGTTAAGGCCAGGATTGCGTAGCGCCCTTGGCGCCACCGGAAGTGCCAAGTGGATTCGACATTAGATATTAATTGATTCCTAAGGCCACCAGAGTGATTATCTCCTTATAATCATTAACTAACATTTAACAGTTAATTAATCAATAATCAGTTATCTTATAGATTTTTTTCATTGAATATCTTGTTTTCTTTCTCTCTCTCTCTCTCTCTCTCTCTTGCGCGCCCAGACCTTCCCGTTTCATGAGCCTTCTCTAACTCGTTCCGACCATATTGGCATCTTCATCATTTTTATCTGTTAGTGAAACATCCACGGTGAGGCACTTTTATTTAGCTCGAATCTACAGCCCTTCCGGTAACGCCTTTAGACATATAACCAGTCTACTTCCGGCCTGCTTAGTATGGCGAGAATAAACGATCCTTCATTCACCTACAATCCTTCGACCGACAGATAATAGATTAGGCTAAATAAATTAAGGGTATTATATAAGGTTCGTGACAGTTTTACAATCCTCTCGGAACTTCCTCCATTATTACCCTTCGCCTTGACCTTATTACTCTAGGTACGTTTCCCACGTCATCCTCAGTTCTTTGTGTACTCTTCGCTTCTTTTACTTATTTGTTCTCAATGCTTTTTCCTTTCTTCTTCTCTTGCTCGTACTCTCCTGCTATATACTGTTTATCGTACTGCTAACAGCACGGTGCTTCTTTCCGTTCTGTACAGATAAGATCGTCTCTTATCACCTGGTGAATAGTTCGACGATCCTTGTGCCGATTTTGGTCATCTTTCTGGTCTTCCGTCCGATCCTTTATTAGTTGTGTCCGTTACCCGTATTAACGTGGACTCTCGTCGCGTAACAGACGTGTCGTGGGATAGTTTCTCTCATGTACTCGCGAACGTACCGGATGTCCGATATCACGAGTTCTTCACCGGTTTCCGGCGCTGCTTCGTCCTCGTCTGTGAAGGATGGCCGTCATTGAGAGCCGGGTAGAGAGCGAGACTCACTTCGTCTGGCAAGGAAGAAGCCACTTCACGAATTCCTACATGCTTTGTGCTTTGTACTTCTGACTCCAGGACCCACTCGTCCGGGGCACTGAAATTATTATTTATTCGTTGATTTCACGTTTCACAGTGTTTTCTTGGATTAATTATAATTACTTAAAATTAATTGTACATACATGTCTTGAGGGTACCATCGTAACAGCACTTTTGTCTTTCCGTCCAGTTCTACTCTTCGTGCTAAAACCTAGGGGATACAAATGAGTTCATTATTCATTGATAAGAATTATTTTTAATCGCGAAAATTCGATTCCACGCAGGTTAAGGAATGTCGCTGTTACTCACTTGACTAGTTAGGGCCATCGAGTTTCCTGGAGTCTCGGCGAGTCTTCCTTGGGTCCTTGTTTTGGCTAACTCGAGTAACCTATGCTGCAGACCCTCCATTACTCCCGTATCGAAGTAATCGAACAGTCTTGCTATAATGAAGAGAGGGAATATTCCTTATTAAGATTTTCTAATTCTTGTTATTAATTTGAAAAGGGCATCATTTATTCGGATATCCCAAAGTGACGTAACACTAACCAGACCAAGGTTGCCTTCTATATCTGAGCCTCTTGCCATTTCTCCTTACGAGTTTCCCACCGTTTTCACAGCTTCTTTTGCTGCTACTGCTACTCGTCTCGGGCTGATTGAAGTGGCCATTGACGTGCCTCTCCAAGGCGGTCTGGAAATCCGATCACAAGAAGATATTTAAATATTGAGAACTCAGGCACTTTCCAAAGAGAGCTTTGCTTGGGTATTATGGGTTAAAAATTAACCGCATCCGGCTCAAACGACATTCGCTGAAAATTATGATTCGTCAAGCGATGAGAGCGCGAATGTCGAGAGCCACCAGGGTGAATCACAGTCTACCACATGACGACTAGGTTCCATCACCAGGATTTTATTGGACCTTAAACGAAATTAGTCAACAGCCAGGATTTTACACGACCACAAAAACCGTTCAAGATTACAAAAGTTGTATAAGACCTCAGCATTCGCATAGAACAACAAGAATTGTACGATACTACTAAACTGCGCAAGACCACAATAGCTGTACAAGATCACAAAAGTTGTACAACATCACAGAAACTATAGACCACCACAAGGATTTGACACATTCACATCGACCTGATTCCACGCATTCGAAAGGGTGGGCGGGGGTGGCTCGATTGCAGCTGTCTTTGGAAAATACCCATATATCATCTCGTGAGATGATGATGACGATATGCGTGATAATCGTGTATCAACATTTAGTTTACTTTGATCGACGGAGAAGCCTGAAGTCTCACAATTGTTGCGACGTTGACATTTTAAACGATCACAACTTTGAAGTCTCAACATTGATGCAAACTTAAAGTTGAACAACACGTGAAATGGTTTCGGCGTACGGTTCAGACAAAAGACATTTTTTTTTCATCCTCCCTTAAACTGAAAACTACGACTCCATTACGGATCCTTGATCATCAACAGTAGTGAGAAACTATCAAGCCCTAAACAAACATGTGAGACGATGTCTATAAAAACAATCTCTTTAAATCTCAACCGATATCCGTGAACGACGATTGATTCTCCTTCCTGATGATTCAAATTAAAATACATTACCCAGCTTCGCAGAAACTGGTAGAAAAGATACAACACTAAAATTGTCCAACGAGGTCAGCCGACAGGAGTGGGTAGCACGTGGAGGTGAAGAGAAAGTGATTAGTCTAGTATATTATCTGGTTGAAGATGATCAGATGATCAAGATGATTAGAGATGATCGACGATTACAACAATGATTACAAGAAAGGAAAAAGGACGCACAGTGCATAGTGGAATGCTACAGCACTCGTTATAGGATAGGAATTAAGGATACATTTAGGACTTTGATATTTCTCTGAGAATAGAATGGGAGAAACGATAACTTAAACTCGAGTAGATCTTTAACGGCGAACAATGATTTCACAGAAGGTCTTTCTGCAGATACGAAGACGTCATCGAAGTTCTTATGCGTTACATGGTTCAGTCATGTAAAACTGAAAATTCGAAGAGTGAACCTAGGTACACAGCATCCTGGAGACGTGTTTCTATCCAAGTATTATCTCGATATATCTCAAGCGGTTCTCATCCTCTGCTAAACATCCTTGTAAAGTCGTGAGGACCAGTATATTCGTAAATGGATGACAAGACAAGGAAGTCCTTCGAAGATTCGTCAAAATCAAGAGAGTGGACGTCATCGATATCAGAGCATCCTCAAGGATGACAGTACGAGTCGCGAAGTGGTCCAAGACGTCGGAAACGGAACAATTATGGAGACGCAGTATACCTGTGAACTAAATCTACTGCCGCAGCCGTCGACGATGCATCTGAAGGGTTTATTTCCGCCATGAGACAGGACGTGTCTTTCGAGCCATCTACGGGAGCAGGATGTCCTTCCGTGAACCTTGCAGCCTTGCCAATGGCATACGAAGTTATCGCCTCCAGTCTGCGTATTGATATGAGCCGACTGCAAGAGAAAAAGAAAAAGCAGCACCTTGTAGCAATATACGAAGACCCTGCGCGAGAGAGAATTTTTTGGTAAAAGTTGACCTACCTGCAAGTGTTCCAGTAGACAACTACTCGAGTCAAAGCTGGCCTCGCACTTATCCCAGCGACAGATGCCGCTGTCTGTACCCTGTGACCTATCTTTTTGACGTACCTGAGCCGGAAACCGGATTGTCGTAGGTGCGGAAAGGATGGGCGACAGTAGCGCCTTGGGTTCACCAGTCTTATCATCCTGGGAGTCCTTGTTTTTAGTCTCCTGCGGGACAGGTGCGATCAACCTAGATAGAAAGTCGTTCGTGCTCCTCGTGGAGAGTAACGTTGTCGTGAAATTATTGTTCTCATTGACAATAGGTTTAATGTGGACGCTGTCCTTGAAGTCAAGAGTCATTGGCTCGCCGGTTAACGAGGCCGTAGGAGTCGCCGGGGGTGAGCTACCCTTTTCACTGGGACTCGCATCCGATGGCAGTCTGAGAGAGGATATCTTGACAGTAGGAAGTGTCGAGAGGACGTCGTTTGAGATCGGCAGACTGGGCACGGGTTTAGGCAGCTTCTCCATATTAATATTTGCCCTGGGCACTATCACCGGTGGCTTCTTCGAAGGTGGTGGTGACATTGTCAGGGTCCGTACCTCCCAATCGTTTGATCGACTGTTGGGTGATACAGCACCTAGGTACTTGGCAAGTCCACCCTTGTTCCTCTGAACAGTAGGAGGCCGTCGGAACTCCGGTGAACTCTTAGCTACCAGTACTGACATGTCACTGGTTTTTTTGTTCTAAAATGAAAAAAAAAAAACAATTATTCCTGTCCTTGACCTGAGCTACGAAAATGTAGAAATCTGACAAGCCAGGATGAACTTTTACCTTGGGCTGCTGAGGTTTGATCTGAGTCTTGAAATACTCGGTGATCTTGCCCTGGGTCTCGTGGTGACCCTTGACACCAGAGGATTTACTCCTGGAGGTAGGGTCAGCGGCTCCAGCTCTTGGCAGGGTACCCGCCTCGGGTTCGCTCTTAAGCCTCTTGTAGGTGGAGCAGGCAGTAACGGCCAGTGGCGGTGTCCAGGGCCATTGGGGCCTGGGGCCACTGTGAACTTGGGGCGTAGGTGGCGCCAGCTTGGGCAGGGACGGAAGTGGACTCGGTGCCGTTCCTCGTATGGCGACACCCTCGTCGCTGCTGGTGCTACAGGGTGATCCAGGCTCCGTTATGTCGCTGGTACCGCTGCTGCTGCACTCGCCGCAGGATACGGCTACTCCACTGTAACCAAAAATAAATTTATGTTACATATCGTTCAAACTGTGCTAATATTTTTAAAAATATTCTATGTCGTAAGCAGAGGCGTCGAGGGTCCCTTGATGCGACGCTAATAAAACTAGCCCGGGACCATCCGACTGGATCAGACTGGTGGAAATTGCATGCTTACCAAGTAACGATATTACCACCAGCTGAAACCTAATTACAGGCCAGACATTGCCAATTGCTAGCCGCTTTGGGATTCTCGGAGTTGGTACTACCGCGTTGGTTGGTAGTTTGGAAAATAAATGAAAATAAGAGGAAAAACAACCTCAAAGAACCAAGAGGTATCGGAGGACCCAAAGTAAAGTAGGGAACAGGCCTGAATAAAAGAAAAAAATTTGAAAATTCTCACCATCAAAGATGGCGTCGTATCGGCCTATGGCAAAACGTTCGATGTGAAACTATCAAGTATCATCATTTTCATTTCTCATCATTCTCCCCTACCGCTGTCCTGCATATCCTTTTACTTTTACAGCCAACCACGGCCATGCGTTATATAGATAAAATCCAGTATCCTTTCCCCGAGTATCCTTTTCCAAGCTAGGATAAACCTAAAGTCCCGTAACTCTCGAACGACAAGAGTCGTAAACGAACCATCGCGAAGACACTGACCTTTCCCTATCTTCGATTCCGTCATGTTTACGCAACGAGCTATCGTTGCGCAGCGCCGTTAACGGCTGCGTATTGAATGAGAGCCATTGTGCCACGAAACTTTATACGATTTTATCATGAAGAAGTCGATGACCTCATCCTGCATGCAAAATTCACCCTGACGTAAACGAATACTCAGATACGAGTACCCGATACCAGTAACGAATTTTCCACAGCAAAGAAAATATATATTCATACCCACTCTGCACGATAAAAGCGAAATAAAAAAACCATCTACGATCTTGCAAGACACTGTGTCACATAGGATTTGTAAGAGCAATTTCGAGACGTCACGCCACGTTACAACTCTACGAAACGTGGTTATTCACACGATCGTCATAGATCTGATAGATACGTGGAAAAATAATATAAAATACACCTAGTAATGTTGTTTAATGAATAAAAAATTATTGGTCGATACATCGAAGGATTCGTTATCTGGCCATGGAATCGTCGTGGATCCAATCGTTTCGAAAGAAGAAGCGTCTGGTTCAGAACCTTGTAGGTAGCGCCGCGTGGTGGCAGTGGACCGAAGCTCGGCCCATGCACGCCTCTATTATTCCGTATAGCTATAAGGGAATATAGCCAGTCATTATGTCTCTCTCGTGCTCCCACTGTACAATGACTTACTCCCTTTCTCTATTAGACACGCAATGCCACTCTCTCTCTCTCTCTCTCTCTCTCTCTCTCTCTCTCTCTCTCTCTCTCTCTCTCTCTCTCTCTTTCGCTCCTTCCTCCTCGTCCGACTCGCAGTGAAACGCAGTGAGCGAGTAAGCAGAGAGTCAGTCGGTCCGTATTGTCCATCCCTCTCGCACTCGTGAACGATTCTTCGGAGCGGAAATGCATGCTCACCTAAATACCTAAAGTTATATTCACAGCGTGAGCGTGGTAGACAACGACGCAGGGCCACCATAAGAGCGTCGGGACGATCGCCGTCGGAACTCAGGCTTAGACGGTTTTTTTACCTCTTGACTGTTCTTAATTATTTTTCATTTACTAACTTCTTCCCCCCTCCACCCCGTCTCTCTCTCTCTCTCTCTCTCTCTCTCTCTCTCTCTCTCACACACACACATTTCTTGACTCTAAAATGAACCTCCTTAATAGTCTATTCCGGTGACATCATTGGACTTAAACGTCGGCCATCTTTCTTTTTGACTACAATCGAGGTCGAATTAATTATTTATTTTAATTGGACCCATTTTATTATCAAAATTTGTATGTAATTTAACGAAATTCATTACGTCGAAAGGTTTTGGATAATTCGGCTAATTTTTTCGTAAATTCAAGTGGTGCTTGAGAAGAGAGTATGCAGGTGGCGACACCCTCGGAAACTTTTGAAAGCCTAGTTTAAAAGATTGCTTCTCTCGTAGGGGCAAAAAAGGCTCTTGCCGACAGTTACTACCCGGGTTCACTACTCCCCAAATGAAAATTACAGAGTGCGTTCAGGGAAGCTACTGGGAGTGAAAGGAGGTGGAGAGTGACGCGAAGGGAGGTGGTGGGTTAAAGGGTGGCAAGGATATAGGGTGACTGAGTGAACTCAACTCCCTCTAGTCCGCGCGCCCACGCGTTCATGCAAGGGAGGGTTGTGTCGCGTCAGATCGAGGGCAGATTATGATTTGGCCGGCATCCTAGGGAAGGGTTGTTGCTCGGGGGGGTTGACGAGAACACGAGCTGACCGCGTAACTGACCTATACTCCGCCATACTAGCTACAGGTCACGCGAACAGAGCATATAAATATACATACTACACACCACCCTAAGAGAAAGGGTGTGACGAACAACCCTCTTAAAAAGATTCCTTAAAACCGCCGCAATCAACGCAAAAGTTAATTGGGTCAAATTTGAAAAGTATAATTTTATTATTCATAAAAATATGCCCCTACTCGAGATTAAATTTTAAAAAATTCCACTTCCAAAATCCAATCGTATTTCGTACTTTTGTACTTATGAACACTGCGCATGCGCACGCGCGTAGCAGACTCGACAGAGGAACTCGAAGGGGTCGAGTAATACGGTAGAAAGAAAAAATAAAGTTGTTTGTTTAAAAAGCAGAATCGTAACGAGCTGATCGTGGACCCGAGGAATCCTCTGTAACGTCAAAGACGGGACCGCGTAATAAGGGGCGTGTTACGCGTACGCGTAACTCGTCTCTTTACGATTATGATCTTGCAATTACGCGGTATTTAGGCTCCGTACGTAAGGCAGCCTCTGCATTACACATTATCATTGCCGCGGGCTTGGGTTACTAAGCTATTTACAGTAGCACGGTTATTCTCGATACTCGTGTGTACTCTCTATGCGAATATCGATAACGACGTAACCCTCGAATATTACGAATATGTCTGATAAATTTGAACAAGTGCGTGGAAAAAAAAAATTCCCTAGAATTATTGACGTAAGATTTCATTTAAAGCACACACTGGTATGACATTTTCTAGCGTAAGGGACCATCCACACGGTGCATCGATGCGTGTCCGAGATATTTTACGATTATGAAAACCCGCAATTATAGTACATTTATACGGTGCTCCCCCATCGCACAAATGAAAACGCGTTCCTATCGAAACTTGCCTCGACTATACCAGTTCGCCATTATTAGAGCGTTGTATATCGCCCGCGTGTTATATAGGCGTATACCGGCACCCGGTTCAATTTGTACGATTAATTGGAAGCCCGTAATTTCCCCATCGATTATCGATGGTCCCCTCCGCCGCCCTGAGTAGGGAAAAAAATTACAAAAAAAAAAAAAAAAAGAAGGCGCAATCATCAAAATCATCTAACGAGAGAATTTCGTGTGAATTCTGAATTTTTTTTTGAATCAACAACAAAAAATTATTATTAATCGGTCTCGCAGTCGCGATCACGTTTACCAGCTTAGTTATTGAGTACAGAGCGCAGAGCTTGTTGGGTTAGATTCCTAAATAGTTAGCGTCTTGGAACTAGTTGGTATTCGGTTTCGAAGTTCCAGCCAGGGATTACTTGCAACACGCCGCCATGGCTACTTCCTATACTTAGAACATCGGCTCTTTACTGCACCATCACCATCCCGTTCACGAGGGGAGAGATCTTCCTCTTCTTTTTTCTCTCGCAGCCTCCCGTTCGGTCCAGCTACATTCACCGAGAGGAATTTCTCCTCGTGGTCCCTTTTCTCTGTCTCTGTCGCCTCTTTACGAGAGTCAAAATAATACTTTCTGATATACGTATGGGAATTTAAACAAGTTTTACTCTCCGAGTGTTACGTGATACACACGTGGCTATTAACGAACGAATGACAAATTAAAACAGGAGGCAACGGCATCGAGTCACCCCAACAGCCACGACCGAACCGTGGGTCCTTCGTTATATAGAAAAATAAAGGAAAAAAAAAAGGATCTCCTGGCATCGATGTGCGAATGATTGACAGCACTTTTCCACGACTTCCTGTCTCCGCAGGCCGTTTTATATCGTACCCTACTCGCTACTTCCTGTTCGCGCTAAGGGACTCCGCACAAAAGGTAATAACAGTCCCGCGGTTCCTTTTCTGAAAGCTGAAACCTGTCGATCGTGAGTGCTTGCATGTTACCCCCTGTTTCCTTAATATATCCACTAAGGTTTCTACCTTAATTCCATTTCCGCTTTTCGTGCCCAGTTTCTTTGCAATGATCAGGGCTCGAATTCTCCTTTTAATTCTGACCTGTTATTCATCTTGTCCATCTAAAATTGCTGCTTACTAAGTTATACGAACTTTAGAGGTATACGACGATGTTTTATTGTGAAATTACGTAATTTATTACGACCTATCAAAATGTCTGCCAGAAATTGTAAAAATAAAAAAAATTCATTAACGTAATAGATATATAGAGGTACGAGGTGATCAGGGAGAGAGCCAAGGGAGTGGGGATAAGTATGTTCTCACTTTCGACCAATCGCCGTTACCGAGCGCTTCTTCGTTAACTCGTGTAAAGTCGTATGACTACGTTTACCTTAGGGCCAACGTAAACGGAAGAAACGTGAGACGTAACATAAGTGCCACCATTAATGACCAAACGTTCATAACGCTTGACGGTCTTACGGACGTCTGACTCATCGATCTAGGGCTAACGTCACGTCTCAAGCTTTTTTCTATGCGATAGCCCTAAAAGTTTTGGACGTCAAGACTGGACACAGGCAAGGTAGGAGTCAATTGAATCGCGTTACAATTCACCCGAACCTGCCATACTTATTTCCCGGGTCTCTGGGCCAAAACAAGAGGATTTAACGAATACTATATTTTTCCATCGCTTTCTATTTTCTCCTGTGAAATTCAAAGATTCGAACGGCATATGATAAAACGACCAAGAGGAGTGTATAATTGGTGAAGATTAATGCTTTACAGAATATAAGCGTGACTGCTTGTATCGAGTCACGGGGCCATTAAGTGTCTCACGGTTCGTTATTATTATTATTATCGTTTGGTGAAAACACACGCGTGCACCATAAGTCAGTCAGTCAGTCAGTCCAATGCGACTGTTATGTGTAACACTGCCAAGAATGTCTCTAGGAATTGCCAGGAGAGTATAACGCGGTGACGTATGCAGTACGTGTATGCATGCGAGGAGATGGCAGAGGTAAAGTGTAGTGAAGAAAGAAAAATGTATTTCGTAACGTTACAGGGTCCCGCTCGAGAGCCTCGCGTGTTATGGCGCCATTAAGGACGATTTGAATATTTCTACGCGAGGCTAATGGCCGAATCCTTCGTAAGCGTTTAATCGTAAAACTACCGTTCGCTGCATGCGAATATTTACCCCTATATCGCCAGTCCCTATTGCACGATGAGTTCCTTGCGAGTAAACCCTCGTGACGTATATGAATTCTGCTACGTATAAATTCCCAATGATTAATGGTCCTCGCAACCAGTCCTCGTACTGCACGTGTCATGCCGAGTAAAATTAATTATTAATTATTAATAAAAACATAAAAATCAATGGACAATCGATTCTCTTGCGGGGAATGCACGTCACGAAATATTTTTCTTTAAACATTCTGTGTTTCAGCAATCGCATAAAAGTTTTGATTTCGATTAGAATTTAAGTTACTAATATGTACATAACTTGTGCGTGTGTAATGTATGAGGGTTAGAGATAATAAAAAGTCTCCGGGCAGTCTGGCGCGACGTAAAGGCGGAATCGCAAGTTCGCAGCTAACGCAAGTCCTCTCTCTTTCTCTCCAATTAGCATTAATTAACAAAAGTGGTAGGTGAGTTACAAAACGCGGGCAGGTAATCGCCCGTGAAACGAGAGAGCAACATTCCGAAAGCTACGCGCACGCGACTCACGCAACGTGCGCGCGCAGCTCGGCCAGTGCGCATGCGCGCGACCGCAGCGCCGCCAACGAAAAATCCGCTACAGTAGCGCCGATGAAAATCGCGTTCGACGAAAGACTGTGTACAGGCAAACGATGATAACAGTCTGACGCCTCGCTCCAGTCACCATACGCTTCAACGTGTAAGTAACGTGTGCGCAGATACCCGCCTACGACTACTGTTACTTTCACGGGACTGTCATAATATACGATATAACAGAGGCTGGGTCGCTGGGTTACTCGCATTTGAAATTGACCGCGCCCAGATAGACGCTGAGTCATTGTTGTAATTTTCATTACCTCACCCTGAATTAATCGCTGCACTCTAATGATTGTCAACGATATGAAATAAAAAACTTCATTAATGGTAAGAGTAGAAATTTTATTAGTGAATTTTTTACTTAAAAAAAAATATTCAATGTTCCAGTCTGTCACTTTATTACATCCTGACCGATTATGAACTGTATATTGGTAACTATAATTTTGTTTGGAAATACGAGTAATACGACAGAAATTTTTTATTGAATCGACATTTTTTTCAGAAAAAATATTTTATGCATAAATGCCAAACGTATAGCTACTCAAACTACTCGATGAGATGCGGTATGCTCGCAGCCAGCAGCGTGAGTTGATAAACCGAGTGTGTCGACCGGCACACTAACCTTGTCCCGAACTCGGCGCACTCGGCAAGAGTGAGCGGGCGAGCAGGACGAAAGTACGACAGAGAGGTCTGACGAAGAGAAAAGATGTTATAGGTTCAGCAGGAGTGAACGCGGCGGAGGGAGAGAGGCAGGGGGAGAGAGAGAAGACACAGAGAGATACAAGAAGAGAGTGTAGTGTCATTACTCTCTGAGTTTCGGAACATTGCCGGCCGGAACCTCAATCAGCATTCTGTTAGTCGTGAACATATCCGTTCAAGTTCATTGTCGCTTCTGGATTACGAAACTACACTGCGATTTCATTTGCCCTCGCCGTTAGATTGGGTTAGGTCAATGTCGGATAGGAATCTAACCAAAGAGATTTTATGCATTGATTACTTATTGTATTAAAAATTGTATATACGTTTACATTGACTGAATTCGATTTTTCTTTAGGATATTATATAGGTTTTACTCTGTGTGTATATATATATATATATATATATTTCATTTAACGAGTCACGTGATCTCATAGCTAAAACTTGTACGACCAACGAGTAAATTACTGTAAACCACGTACGATCGTGAGGACGAGTATCCATTTTTAATGTAAAAATGACCGCCTTCATTATCCTTCAAAATTCGTTGTGGCTTTCCAGGCGCGTAGCGTGCTTAACGCATAGCATGCAGTTTCTACCTCGAGGAGCGTCTATAACAGCTGGAGAACGGTACCCGAAAGTCTTTGTCAGTGTGCTATATACGAATAAGAGAATTGACACGCTGTTTCCTATTTATAAAAAAAAAAAAAAAAAAAAAAAAAAAGAAAAA